TGTCGCGTTTCGCGTCCACTAGACCAACAGGGCAGTCAAAGGTATGATTTCCTATAGTTTAAAAGACAAAGTTTCATCTGCTTCGAATATCAGATGCGATAAAAATATTTATTTTGATAAAAATCGATTTGTTACTGCAAAATGTGCATTGTGAATAAATTTTATTGTATTTCTATGGTTGACTATTTTAATAATAATGATTTACACATAGGGAGATAGATGCACAGGGTTATTTTTCAATCAGTAGCCAAATTTTAAGCTTAAGTTCAAATACCTATATTAATATATAATGATATACCGTTATTGCCGTTTTTGAAAACACGAGTAAATAAGGCTTCTATTTTTATTTCAAATTATCCCAAATTGAATGTGATTTGTGCTCAATAACTTTTTTCCTATAGATCGACCCTTACGAATGTGTGCGTGCGCAGTAAAATCAGTTAAAATAATGCATTACCACGCATTTTGAATTTAAAAGATAAAGAGGACAGAATATTTGAGTTTATTTTTAATTAATTTTTCTTCGCCATTTGCCTGTATTACTTATACCGAACCTTCTCTGCAAATTTGGCCGGTTATTGAAAAATAACCCTGTATACTGTCGTGGACTTTTTTGTAGAACTATTTAGGAGAAACAATTCCACCATACATAATATTCGTGTAACTCTTAGCAGTTTTTGCACCGCACGCCAAAATAGCTCGCAGCTGACAGATTTTTTCCGACTTAGTTAACACTTATCGTCATATTTTGGCCAATTTACACAATGTGTTTATGAATTATGTGTTATTCTGATGTATGAGCTATATTATTGTAAATATATATATCTTTATATATAAAAATTACGTGTCAAGTTGTTTGTACGCGATGGACTCCTAAACTACTGAACTGATTGCAATGAAATTTTGCACACTGTATGTAGTTTGGTCCAACTTGAGAGATAGGATAGTTTTAATCCCGATAGATGACCCTCAAAATTTTTTTTATTACGAATTTAAGGAATTTTGTAGGAAGGGTCGTTGGAAAGGACAGAACAACGTCTGCCTATACAGATTCTTCGCGATAGAAGACGCACGAGATGTTTTTTGAGCTACAAGACCGGATCAAAAACCTCTTTAACGTAGTCTATTATACGTAGTTACTTGCCACCAAATGTCCTTAGATAGATAGATAGATAACACTTTATCGTACGCCAAAAAATATATTAAACGTAAACAAAAAAAGAACAAGGGAGCAAAACGAAATGTAGTGGCAATTGCCGGCCTTATCGCTAAAAGCGATTTCTTTTAGATTTGAAGGGACAGGATTGCAAGTGGTGTTTTCAATGTGCGGATGTACTTTAAGTCGCAATACAAAGATCGTGCACAAGAATAGCGTGTATTTAGTTCTTCTATCTTTTATTTATTAGTTCCACCATCAAACAATTCTGTATACCTGCCAATGGAACAACTTCAATTGATTGACACGTACAAAGCATTACATAACGACGCGTCGTTTCTAACCTCGTAAGGCCCACTGTACAATTTATTGTACAAAATCACATATAGCACCCAGAATTTAAAAGACAATATTTTCCTAAACACCCAGTGTACAATACGATGTAGAACAAAATTTGACACATAACATTTGGAGAAATACATAGACGATCTGTCAAATTCGACAAGTTTTGCAACCATGCCGCCGATTCAGCATGCACTTAAGTATAAATCTTAATAAATTTATACAATCTGACGCTATTTGTTAATTCAAATAAAAATAAGAATTAACGTACAGTCAATCGGGGTAACTTTGACAGATCATCACTATATTTTTTAGTTAACGTTTACTATGTTAAATATGAGACAAAAGAGTTTACTTAATCTTTGCTCTCAAGTTGGTTTTCATACTCTCAAGATAATTAAAGTCTATAAAAATTATAAAATATATCAAAAACTGGCAATTTTGTTGTGTGTCAAAGTTATAACCCCTATATGGATAATTTGACACAGATGAGATTTGTCGCAGAAATCTTATCTTTTAAACATTTTATAGCTTCAGGGTAACATAAGTTTAAGTTTTTAACAAATTTCAGATGCAGTGGAGTCATATACAAGTCAAAAAAAAAACATAAAATTGTAGTTCTATCTTTATTTAAACTCTTTGGTAATTACATTTAAAATTTTAAAAGTTTACCACTGCAAAAAGACAACAGTTGCGTGCGGTACTTTTAAATAAGTTTTTAACATTAACTTTGTAAGACACCTTCTTTTTTTTTCCAAAGATCGTTTACGAAGTTTGTTAAGTACACGAATTGTATAAATTTAATGTTATGCACTAAATGTTGTGCACGTAAAAAATAAAAAAGTATTTTGCGATTTGACTGTCAGTTACCCTTGTTAATCAAAGTTACCCCGATTGACTGTATTATTTTCAAAAAACAATTGTTATTTTGCTTCAAACAACCCAATTTGTATTTTTTATTACTTTTATTAAAGTGATGTTCATTTTGATGCACATTGGGTTTATGTTATCAAATGCAACTTTTTGATTCTAGATCTCTACGATAATGGAATAGATAATTATTTGGAGTCTTCAGATATTGAAGACTTCAGTCCATCTGAAGAAGACGTAGGTGACCCAGAGTGGTCAATTCACCGCGCAGGTGCATCTACACCTTCAACATCATACTCGGGAGATTCTTCCTCCGAATGTAAAAGTGATAAAGAAAACCCACAATATGTAAGGGGATGTGGAAAAAAAGTATCTAAAAGAAGAGCACGTGTATAGAGGGCTATACACGTGAGGGCACCCTCTAAGCGTGGAGGAGGACGAGTAAGGGGTGGAGGCAGAGCAAATCATCAAGATTTTCAAGGAAGAAGTCAAGTTTTAGTCCGGAATGATGGTAAATTAGCCTTCACGAAATGGCACAATAATAAATCAGTTTTGCTTTTATCTTCTGTGGAGACAAAGGATGAAGTTGTCGAAACTGGTGCAAGAACATAAAGTTTACGTGACCATCCCGCGACCACGCAACTCACGCGAGTAGTGAGACAGTATAATCAGAAAATGGGAGAAATGGTATTTAGCTGACCTGACGGCTCCGTGGCGCAGTGGCTTAGCAATGAGTGGTTGCGCTGGGGGCCGCGGGTTCGAATCCCGCACGGATCAAGTATTTGTATGGCCTACAAATAATTGTTCCGGGTCTGGATGTTTGTCCTCGTGCAATTTATGTTTGTAAACTGCCTCCACGACACAGGAGAAAATCCTTGTGTGGGAGTAACGTTTTTAAAAAAAAAAGCTGTCCGCCTTTTGGCGGTGGGTCCGTATAGATATATGATCAGAAAGTGGACGCTACAATTATTGTGATTATAAAGAATTAAGCTTATTCTATAAAGTTTATTTTACTTATAATTTAAGTTCTCGTAAACGTCCAAAGTGCATTTGAATGAACAGCGAGGTAAGAACTCAAAAATAGTTTTATTCTATTCCTTTCCACCATATAGAACCCAAAAAAAATATACAAAAATTGCTGGTTAGGGTTTTCATATAAAAAATTGTTTTGTTTGCGTGGGCCGCAACGGTATAACAAGATAATGTACATTGTATTGCACATTAAGTCGTTCTTCCCAGGCCATTAATAGTAATGTCCTCCAGACGTAATTTTAATCACGGCGGCCAATGTCAACGGAGACGAAAGATGGCCGTCCGACAAGACTGGAGAATCGCCGGCCAACTTTCTTCGTTCTCTTTTTAACTTTAGATTGATACTGAGAATTTCTTGACAGAAAAAAGCTAATAATTGATTTTGTTCTGACACGGATTCTAACACGAAAACCATATGACCAGCAGTCGCGCTTACAACCACTGGCACCGAGGCAGTCGAACAAGACCATTACACCATGTACGTGTTTAGCATTCAAAACCTTATCACATTTTAACGGTATGAGGGATCTTGATTATGAGAGATAAAATATATGTGTTAGCCTTATAGTCAAAAGTCAAAAACATTAAAAAATATATGACAAAAGCTTACCTACACAAGTATAAAAGGAATAAAAATTTCACCTCGCGTCTAATCAGTACATTGCCTTACATAACTAGGGTTGCCAACTCTACTGTATAATATATGTAATTATAATACTATATTAGGGGCCTAAATACTGCTATTCTAAAAAACATAGTAAGCAAAAGTACTATTTTATTTTAATAATGCTAATAAAGGCAGACTATGGCGTGAGGCTGATTTTTGAAAGCAGCAACATAATCATTTAAGAAATATAATAATTTTATAAATTTTAAGCATATAATATAAGTTTATTTTTCCGCCACAAATTATATTTATACCAGTACTAGCCTCAAGAACACCTTCATCTATCCATCCATTCCGTTACAGAGTATAAAAGTCCTCTACTGAATATAAACCTCCTCCACAGCTTGTTTTATAGGGATTCTGCCATGGTTATTATTGATATTAGGAAGATGCTGCTGACCATCTTCTGTTTTAGTTTTCTATGACGCCTCCTTAAGACACCCACGGGACGATATGAGTAAGAGGTATTCTTACACCGCCACTACACGGGTATCTAAAATACTATAATTGATATATATAAAAATTGGCAACCCTATCAAAAGAAATCCAGAAATTGTATGAGAAAAGCGGTAACTCACATTATAATTTCTCGTAATCAAATGAACAATTTTATATATTTATTATTTATTATAACCGACACTTAAATTATATTATACCATAAACTTGGCACCATTGTTTCGTGAGCAAAGGAAATTGCCTGCTTGTGACAAAAATTTGGAAAGTTTTATGGAACTACATTGAAATGTTGTTTCCCGATTGATAGCAAAGAAAACAAACAAAAAAAAACAATTTGCGTTACAAAATAAACTTATCCAAAAATACGCACCATAAGTAAACTTTAAAACATCTTTTATCATAGAATTAAAAATGGTCAAATACTCATAATTTAAAATAAGTATCACAGTAGTACATCACAACTAAAAACATCCTTTATTAATCCAGAGATATCACGTTATCACTTTTATATCTGTAATTAACATCATCCATGAAATCCTCCTCCTCACTTTCTGAATCGTCTTGGTTACAAATATTCTTCATTACATTTAACATTGTATTTTCTTCAACCACATCCTCATCAGAAGAAGCGTCAATAGATTCTACATCATAAACAATCCACTTTCTAATTTCACCATCTTTGGTTAGCGTCAGCCAGTTCTTGTTTAATATTTTATACAACTTAACAAGAACATATTGACCTTTATTGACATGAATAGATTTCTTAACATCAACTGCACCATATAATTCAAAGTCGAAAGCATAGTCTACATCATTTAATATAGCAGTGAAACTTATTGATCTTCCTTGAATTTTTAGATAATACGTTTCTAAGCCGATGAGATTAATTTTTATAAAGGTGACATTTTTATTTTGCCTCCAAACAAGTTTTGGCTTACGCGTTTGGTTTATACCCGACAAAGATTTGATTAAAGGCTTTTCTGAAGTACACATGGACTCTGAAGTTTCTGGTGATGTACAGTCGTCGGAATCCAATTCTTTTGTTACATTTTGCGATTGTTTTACTTCTGAATAAGTGATAGCTTGTCTTCCTCCAATTGTATACTTCTGATTAGTCTGTATTTCATTTGCAGTAACTGCAGGTAAGTTCGCATCCAATTTAGGTTTGCCACTATTTTTAACCACCGGTTTTAACATTTTCAAAAACTCATCAACCATATTTATATTCCAGCGTTCTGAACATTCCGAGTCTTCGGAGTCAGAGCCCACCAAAGGTACAGATCTTATTGGTTGTTGAAAAAGAGTTCGTATTGGCGATATTTCATTTGACTCAATAACAGCATGCTTTTCGCAAGTCTCTTCGTCTTCTTCAAAGCTTTCATCTTTATTTAATTTATTTTCCACAACATTCAAGTTGTTAACTTGAAATTCATTAAGATAGTTTATTTCGGCTTCATTTTCCTGCGCCAAATTACGGTCAATCAAAAGTTGATTTATTATAACATCTTGTTCGCTGTTTGTGTCTATCAATACAATGCCATACTTATTACCTTCTGTGAATTCCGCTTTCTCTTTAGTAAAATATTTGACATATAAATGTTTTAAACAGTCAGAATCATGATCATAACAATTATCGCAAAACCAATTTGTGGTGAAGTCGGTCCATTCGTTCCCCACAGGTCTGACACCAACAAGTCGACATTCTATTGCTTGGAATGGTAGTATTGTTATAAAATCTTCCTTAATCGGAACCAAGTGTTTTATCAACACTTCTCTCCAATCACCTTGGTCTACAAAAAAACATGTTACTTTATTTTTATCAATTATAGCGTCGATTCGTGCTCGTTCATACGTCGAATCATCTGGAAACATGGCCAACACTATATCACCTTCTTTGACGTCACATAATGAATCAGAAATCTCATTGACATACTTCTGAATATCTTTGATCAGTAACTTCAAACATGATTCAAACTTTTCAAGACGTACAAAAAATTTATCAGGGCTAATAGCAGAACCGAAAAATACCAATGACATATTCTCGTTTTCAAAATATGACCAAGTTTGTGGCAAAAGCTTGATAGGTTCAGGAACTTTATTGATTGCAGTTTCTTTTATCTGAATGTTACCTGCACAAAGTGACTTAATTTTTGCTATGTGCTCCATATTAAGTACGGCATGTTTATCCAAGAGATCTCGTTTAAAATCATGTTTTACAACAGTCTTATTTATCGACGATAAGTCTTGACAAGCTTCAAGAGTGTCTACAAAAACACAGTTTCCGATTGACATAACTACTTGTCCCCTTACATACATGTCTTCATCTTTATCAGTTATCTTTTTCAACTGGTCTCTAGCGAGATCTGAGAAAGTGATATCTTTGTCTTTAGGCTGTATATTTGCAAGTCTTACTTGAATCACGTGTGTTTCTATATTTTTTAATTCTTCAGGTAAATAATATAAATATATATCTTTTGTAGTTTCTAATTTCTCTTCATCAATGAGTTTTATCAATACACAATTGGGATTACCCCTTTGATATTTACTCAGGATTTTTATCACTTGACATCTAGCAAAGAAGTGCTGTTTGATTGAAACAGCGCAAATATCGCCAATTTTAGGTATGCCATGGAGTTTTCGGTTAGATTCTTTACTGTAATACATTCCCATTTTTATTGAAAGAGTGCTATATGTTTGGGGATACTTACGTGCCGCGCCGTCAACACTGTTCGATAATAATCTAGCGGAAAAATGAATCGCGCTATGATAGTGCAGAATTTTAAATGTTATTTGCCCAGCTGTTGGGATCCATTCCTTACTTTGATCAAAATCCTTCAATACAGTATGCCTCGCCAGGCAGTTCCAAAAATCTGGGCAGTAACCAATTGCTAGCAAATTATCACAAAGAGGTACTAAGTTTGACGCTTTAACGTTATCTTTTTCAACTAAAACTCTTTCGCATATTTCATTTAAACACTGGGGAACATCACCCGTGCAACGTTTGATAAAATGTAGCATTTTTGGCAACTGCTCTAAATTGTTTTCTTCAATTAAAATTTTTATTTTTACGTTTTCATCTTTAGATAGAAAAATAGACGAATAATTGTCGTTCAAAACAGAAAACCTTTTGCAGAAACTAGAATACATTTGTGGGAGTGAATAATTCAATAAAAAATGAGCATCCATAATATTCATATGAGTCAGAGTATCATCACAACATAACAGGATCGGACCTAACAATGGATTTTCAAAATCATCCCAGGCAACCCTTAAATTGAACAAATCTTGAATAGTCATGCTACTATCGCAGACGAACATCACATTTTTGTGATTGGCGAGAGCCTTTTTTAATGTCATAATTTCATCATCTGTTCTGCAAACAATAACAGTTCTTTTAGTCTTGTCTATTTGATTAAGAAAATCTAGGACTGAATTCACTTTGTTTTCTTGCTGAACAAAATTCACTGACATGCCTGCTTTTGAGTAAAGAACACATTCCTGAGAGGCGCCTATACAAACAACAGAGTAGGGGGCTTTTTTTACAATTGGTTCCATAAAATCGCACCAATACCTGGATGCTAAAATATACTGCACTCGTAACTCTTTATTGGTACGATTTTTAAGAGTATCTTTGATCCTGAACATAAAGTATTTTATTTCATTGCTATAGACTTCTGCAAGTCTCTCACAATCATCAAACACAACGGTGGCAAGGCGCCGTAAATCAACGCCAAAGTCTGTTACATGTAATAATCTCACTAAGAATGATGGAGTACATATTAAGAGGTCACAACCATTCAACAAAAATGTAGTTACGTAGGATTCATCAACACCTGCAAAACAAGACAGAACCTTCCCTTGAACATCTAAAAACATTTTGGCCATCTTTTCAACCTCAGCTACGGATTTTGCCGTAGCACAAACGATAATACAAGTGGGGCCAACACTTACGGAATTATCGGAGCTAGCGTCAGACACTAAACGACAAACAGCCGGTAAATATCCTAGGGTCTTGCCACTTCCTACAGGACTAATCATAAACATACTATACCCGCGCAATATACAAAACCAAGAAATAGTTTGCAACTTCATAGGTCGCTCTACTAACATGTTTTTTAATACAATATGAATATGACTGTTAAAATTTACATCCCTAAGATTATAAACTGGCTCTATTCTTTTATTCATTTTTGTATGTACCAATAGCACTGGTGTCACAAGTTTATCAACAAACAAAGATATGTTAGGGTCTATGTTTTTAAAAGGATTAACAGAATTTTTCATGAAATCCTTGACGATACTTGAGTCTTTGTTGTTATGTTTTATATCGTTAGATACATTTGCAACTGGATAATCTTCATTGAGTTTTTTAATAATTTCGTCAATATTTTCATCATCATCTGAATCCCTAGAAACCTGTGTTTTGCTTTTCTTTTGCTTTGCTTTAACATCTTCCAAACTAGAAGATGAATCCTTATTTGTTGTATCAGAGCAGGAATTAAATGAATTGTTCAATGTTTTTGTAACTATCCTTTCATGTAAAATTAGCTTTTTTTGTAAAATTTTAGAACTTGGTGATGTTATTACATTATCACTAAAAGAATCATCACTTAATTTGCTTGAATTAAATTTACTTACTGCATTATCTACACTATTTGTAGAAATTTTTCTTATCCTTTCAAATGTTGGTGTAATTTTCATATCCTGTTGAATCGCATTCAACACATTTTTATTACTAATTTCAACATTTAAATTGGAATCCACATTTGCATAAATATCTTCTTTATGATTTGTTTCTTCTACATCTTCATTACGAATTATTGGATGCTCTGGAACACTGTTGCTGTCAAAATCTTTCAATGTTAACTTGGAGCGGTCTATTCCTGGTGGTCCATACCCTACCCTCTTCTTATTGCATGTGGAAACATATTGTTTTTTAGATAGCTTTTCTAATCTTGTTCCTTTGAAAGAAATTAAAAATACCAATTAAAAAACAAATATAACATCTTTCTACAAAGACAAAAAGATTTTATGCATATATATATATATATATATATATATATATATAAGTAAAGGTAAAAATTTTACTAAAGTTTTCACTGTTGAAAATTGTGACCCAAAAATTCTATATTTACTATTTACATTGTATTACTTTTTGCATTGCTTATGTTTTTTAAATATAAATTTTTAAGCTGCAATTCTGAGATATAATTAGATTTTGAGACATAATTTTATTTTAAGGTTTGCACTGAGAATACGAATAGATAGATAGGTATATTTACATAATATAAAATATTTATGACATTAAAAAACCTATAATTGTAATAATATAACGCTACACCTTGGTGTTTTGTACAAAAAAAGTGGCTGTGTTTCCTCGCTGAACGGCTATACTTAGCATTTAAACAAGAAAAGAAGCAGTCATCTTGTCACCATCGACATTTATACGAGGAAACATCAAGAAGTTCGCGGAATGAAAGGGAAAGGGGGTAAAATTAAACATGAAATTATTATTTTTTTCGATATATTCTCCATAAACCTTAATGCACTTCTCACACACAATCAACTAACTTAATATACCTTCGAAAAAAAAATTTTATCATGGCCCACAAAAAAGGCAGAAATTGCAGACTTCACTTCTTCGTCATCTGTAAATTTCTTTCCCCAAAGCTCTTTTTTTCATATTTGGGAACATAATAATCTGGAGGAACCAAATCTGGAGTATATGATTTAAAGTTTCGAAGCCACACTTGTGCAAGGAAGCCATAGCAACATGAGTTTTGTGAACGAGTGCATTGTCGTGCAAAAGCAACACACCTCGAGACCACTTTCCCCTTCTTTTTTCTTTAATCATATCTTATAATCGATCAATAAAATGTCCTTTGAATCCCAAAAAACTAAATCTATTAATTTTTCCAGCCGATTGTAACATCTTGAACAACAACATTTCTATGATATGTGACATTTTTCCTTGCTGGAACTTAATCACAGCACGAAACTCAATTTTCTTAAAAGTTAGCATTCACTTTCTGATTGGCTTTTTTAGCCTGTGATATCTCAAAGGTTAATGAACCGTTACAGTTAAAAAAATCTCCCCTACCCTCCTAACACCTCTATTCCTCAAACTTTTTGACACATTCTCGTACATCAGTGTAATTTTATGACATGAACAGAGAATAAATTTCCAATAACATTAGCCCTTTTTATTTATCAATACCATTACACTTAACACAAGTTACACTTACATCAGCATACACTGCCACTACTACCTATCACTCACATTCTAACCTTGTGATACCACAATAACAAATAACATAATATGCATGGAAGAAAATAAGAGCTTTTTTCACTAAATGTCTATCCTGAATTCTCTGCTATTTGACACACAATGTTGATGACCAACTGATAATGTAGAATCATCAAATGAAATTCAAAATGCAAATCTCAAAGAATGGATATATGAAACAGTATTAATAACTGCTGCAGCTATATCATGATTGTGACACAAATGGATCGGCTAGACCAGGGAAGGACCATGCTCTTAGAGAGTACCAGCGTAAAATAACAGCTTAATGCTGTTGTTTTTTGTATAGTGAGTGTGAAGAACCAAAAACCCTTTTTCCAGTAAAAACGGACACTCTATTTTAGACCAAGGATGACAAAGCTCTGTATGTTGATTCTTAATCAAGGATGAATGTACATAGATGTCTATGGGGCACAGCATCCACTTACCATCAGGTGGACATTTAATTGTTTGTCACCCTTATTCTATAAAGAAAACAGGCTTTGCACTCAACAATCATCTCAAGTCTTGTAATTGTTCAATATGCTGTAACAATAATAGCAATAATGAATAATTTTTTTACCTCTTTTATTCATGTCTCTAAGTCCTTGAGGTTGTTGACAGTAAGAACTTTCACATGATACATTATTGGACATATCACCTTGACTTTTAATCCTTTCTCCTAAATTTTTGCAATTATTCAACTCTATTTGTTTTATATCATTTATATCTTTTAAGTGTTGAATACTCTTTTTTGACTCTATCAATTCAAGCTTCCTTTTCAACAATGTTGATTTAGGTTCAGGTTCATTTCTTGAGACTTTTAATTCTTTTGCTTTCGTTTCACAATTACATCTTCGTTCTTTTACTTTATATGCTCTTCCTGCAGATTCCTCATCTACACCTTTACACATGTCAAAATCTTTACTTTTATTTTTTATAAGTTGTGAAACGAGATCAGCATTGTGCTTCTGTAGATTCATTGTGGTTAGTACTGATTCTAATTTCTGAGATATACGTGAGACAAAAGTTTGAGTTTTTATAGACTCCTCCCAGTCTGTTTTTGGTACCTTCTTCTTTTTATAGTAATTTTCAATCTCCTTAATAACATGTTGAGCTTCAGAACTTTGCAACTTGGTGTTTATTTTACCCGAACCTAATGCTTGGTGAAATGAACACATATCATAAGCAGCAAAGCCTGACTTTACTAATAATTTTGACAATGGTTTCAGCTTTTTATTATGGTCCTTTAGTATTAGTTCACCATATTTATGAATATTATCATCAAATATTGATGATCTGAAATGGACAAAAGAAAGCATATTAGATACAAATAAGGGCGCGTTCCAACGACACGCACCCGCTACGCGCACGCCACGCGCGTCAGCACCCGCGTCTAACTCGCTTTGAAATTTGTTGCATATAATTTGAGTCTTATGACAAATGAATAAATCTGAAATTGTATAAAAAGCGCGTGTGCGAGGTGAGGGCGGGATCAGCGCGGAGCGGGAATGAGGCGGGCGCGTGGCGTGTGCGAAGCGGGCGCGTGGCGTGGGCGAGGCATGTGCAGTTGAACGTCGATAAATGCAATTTCAGATTTATTGATTTGTCATAAGACTTAAATTATATGCAACAAATTTCAAAACGAGTTTGACGCGGGTGCTGACGCGAGTGGCATGCGCGTAGCAGGTGCGTGTCGTCGGAACGCGCCCTAAAGTGAATATGAGACTTAAAACAAGTGAGCCATGTTAATTTAAAAACATTGTAATTTTATGATTTTTGAAAATATTATTTAATTATGTATCTTAATTTATTAGGTTTCTTGACCATGTAGTGGTGAAGTAAGAATATCCACTACCCCAATCATCTCATGGGTGTCATAACAAGCTTTAGAGGGAAACAAACCAGGGTTGCAAATTATCAATATAATAATGTTCATTGATAATTATCTGGTTACTATTAAATAAATAAAATGTATGTCTAATAAAAGTATTTTAATAGTTATAATTCTTTCATAATAAAACAAAAACATGTTTTTATTTGATACAATCAACAAAAACAAAATTTAAACATTGATAATGATTATATTATTATATAATGATATTATTATCATTGCTAATTATCATGATAATTTTATACTGATAATGTTTATTTCTGCATGTGATATTGCATGTAGTCTAAAGCTCTAAAGCATGTTTATTAATAACATTGATTTGTTTAAATTTTGTTTTTGTTGATTGTATAGTTATCAGATTATAATTATCATGATAATTAACCCGTGCAACCCTGAAACAAACCAGGATATGGGCAGAGTGTGGTCCTTATAATAACTTAAAATAAAATTTATTTAAGCTTTGAAAGAAGGTTGACAACTGCAGTTACTTTCATTATTTTGGGTTGTTTGAGGAAGATACTGCCGCCCATGTTGTTTCAGCTTTCTTTTGTCATCTCTTAAAACCCTACGGAATGATATCTGGTTGTGGATTCTCTTATGTCACCAATACCCAGCAGTCATTATAGATTGGTGTAATTGATGGTAACAAGTGACATAGTTGAAGATGGTAAAGCTTACTGACTTAACTTAACAAAAGCTAAGAGTTAGAAGCAAATACTTCCACTCCATTGCTTTTTACGCATTACAAAAGTCAATGCAAGGTGTGTATACCGATGTGTGGTATGTCGACAACACAGCAAGACATGGTTGGCTGATGGTGAAAGAAAGAGGCAAGATTAAGTGATGCAAATTTTTACACTCACTTTCCAAAAATGTATGCTATAGAATACCGAGAGACTCACTTTTTATGCCTACTCATGTGTCTGATGAATTCACTAGCTCGAATTCTATGCAACTCACATAATTAAGAGAATGTTCTGTTCTATGTATTGCTTTTTTTTGCAAAATAATATGTTAGGGAGTTTCATTTGAATAGTTTTAAGCAGCATAATAGAGTGGTGTAATTACAGAACTGTTCTTTCACTGTTCAGTTACATAGTTCATTAATATAATATGTAATAAGTTAAGTAAAAAGTTGATTTCAGTCACATTACAAGACCTGTTAAATTGAACAAATACTAAGCATAAAGCTGCTTCTATGTTTTAAATAAAATTGAAAGTAGAAATTGCATTCTGAGGGATCCATATAAACTTAATTAATGTATGTAGATAATTCATCCATCTAGGGAATTATAGTTAGGTTCAGCACCACAAGAAAAAGGTAAGTGGGGTAAGAGACAAACTTAGTTTTGCTGTATAAAAGATGTTCATAATCATCTACATCACTGATAAAGCTACAACTGCAAATGTTAAGAGAACATATTATTTTTTGTATATATAACTAGGTATATAATATATTGGTGCAATACTCTCAGTATGGCACCCATATAATGAATTCTAAAACTCTGATCATTTTTATGTAAATATTATGTACATATTAATGTTATTATTTTTCTTTATTTTTCCTTTTTACTATTTAAATTTTTTTTTTTTATTTTTTACTTTAGTTTTCATAAAATACTTACAAATCATCTAGATTTTGTATAAAATGTGTAATTATAAAGCAAATTATTTTAATTGGTAATATTTCAGAGAAATTGAAATAACTACCATTTTCTCAAATTCAAGCTAAGCAGGGTGAACCAGCAATTTTTAATAAGAGTAGAAGTAAAAAAACAATTTGATAATTAGGGATATACCATTGCATATAATATGCCATGTAGTGGCAACATAATGGTAATGAGGTCAAAACTTAGCTTTAAAAAGTAAAGTTTTCAACCCATTACCACCCAACCTGTATTTTTTTGGGTAGTGTGGCCAGTAAACATCTGCATTTATCCTCGATATCCTGCTATTTTATGCTAGTATTCTGGGCAAGGGTGGTCCTTACCAGGTCGAGCCGACCCATTCGTACTACAACCATAATATAAATGCAGCTTGGCTCTACCATGGTATAATTTAAAGTAAAGAATTGCAGATGAAATCAACACTTCTCCAAGAATGAAGCTCCAGTATGTGATTGACAATTTTATTTCAAGGTTAATAAATAGTTGTTTTTACATGGTAGAGCCATGCTGTAGCTATATTAGTAGTATAGTTGTAGCGTGAATAGGTTGGCTCAACCAGAGAAAGACCACGCTCTCACAGAATACCAGCGTAAAATAGCAGCTTAACACAGCTGTGTTTCGTATGGTGAGTGTAGAGAACTGGAGACCCTTTTTACTGGAAAAGAGGCATTCCGGTACGACTTTCCATTGACGTCAGTGGAGTTTGGTGTTGATACGTATTTTTACAGAAAGATTACACTATTATAAGCACACACACAAAGTCTCAATATACGGAAACGCGTAATTTTTGAGAAAAGAATAATTGAAAATCAATTATTCTTGCAATATTTATGTCTAATCTGCTAATAAACTGGCGCCATTTTGTAATGTCATTGTCGACGTCAATAGGGATGTCAATTCTTTCCGAAAAAGATCGATTTTTTAAATAGATTCGAATTGTAAGCTGATGTATCGATTCTCAAAAAATCGATTTCTAAAATATCGATATTTTTTCATGTTTGCTTGTTTGTTTTGTTTGTTTTTCATAATGTAAATATAAATCCATTTTATGAGAAAAAAATCCCCTTCATCATAAAAAAATAAGGGGACTGATTCATAAGGATTTCTGTATCTATTTTGAGACTGCTACGTCTCCGGCTCTATAAAACCACTCTAGGGGTAGGACAGACTCGTACCAGGTGGAGTCGGGGTCAATCAATTCGGTTTTTGACATAAGTTGAACCTAACCTATTTTATTTATTATCTGCCCTAATAGGTACTAATTTCAATAAGAGATCATTTATCATGGTATCTTTCTTGTTTTTCATAAAATGGGTTTATATTTACATTATAAATAGAAACATTAAAAAAATATAGATATTTTAGAAATCGATTTTTTGTGAACCGATACATCAGCTTACGATTTGAATCGATTTACAAATCGACCTTTTTCGGAAAGAATCAACATCCCTATTGACGTCGACAATGACATTACAAAATGGCGCCAGTTTATTAGTAGATTAGACATAAACATTACAAAAATAATTGATTTTCAATTATTCTTTTCTCAAAAATTACGCGTTTCCGTATATTGAGACTTTGTGTGTGTGCTTATAATAGTGTAATCTTTCTGTAAAAATACGTATCAACACCAAACTCCACTGACGTCAATGGAAAGCTAAGCCGGCATTCCATCTTTATCCTCACGGATGACAACGCATCTGCATTTTGATTCGTAATCGAAGATAGATGTGGATTTCTATGGGTCACAGCAACCAGTTACCATAAGGTGACTGTGTGCTTGTTTGTCACCCTATCCTATAAAAAAAATACATAGAAACTCAATAAGTGTTCTAAATTTAACAGTAATTAATACAAGTTTGAAATAGTTTTTACTTTAAGATATTAAATACTAAAAACTCTGAAAAACTACAAAAACCATTCTGAATAGAGAGATCAAAAACCAATAATTATATAAAAGCTGAAGGTGGGAAAGATGGTGAAGGACCAACATCTCAGTTTATGGCATGCCAGATGTTGGTAAGGCATTCGAAATCATTACACACCTCATTAAAATCTACGCCTTGACTCTGAAACCTATGAAATTTAAAATAAGTACAAGAGTAATATACACATACCTTCGGTCAATATATGTTGGACAGAACCAGACTTCCTGAGCTGTCATCAATGCTTTTTTAATAGTAGCGGATGCCGCTGGTAGCCACTCTTCAGATATTTGCGTCTTAAGATTCTCTTCAACGACGTCTAATGTAGGCTCTACAGGTAATACTCCGTAAAGACCGATCTGCTCGAATGTGACATCAGCTTCATTTAGAGCAGATAAATTTTTAACTTCGATCCATATCAAATGAGGGTTTAAAAAATAAAGCACCTCTACTTGATAACTTTCAGGAGGCATTGCTAATGATATCCTTATCTAAGAAAGTATAAATCAATACGTTTCCCTTAAAATAAAATGTGCTTGTTCCACAAACTAGATCCTTGAAACCTATGCTTGAAACTCGAATTCAAATTCAACAAATTTATAGATTCTTCTTCTTCTTAATAACTGGCTTTACGGCTCTGGGATCTAGCCCTTCTGAGCCTGAAGTTACAATATTATATTATAATAATTATTCTTCATAGTATACTGCTTCACAATATGTTGATGCGTCACATTGTGCAGCCCTTGGGAGATTTTAACGGCAACTTAAGCCAGCAGACAGCTGACGGTTAGCGATGGTATCTTAAGGCGCCTAAGCAGACAGGCACCTTATTTTGAGAATCACATCACTATCAGAGTATCAAAGCACTTGTTTCACAGTTTCCACTAAAAGTTCACATGCGCAGACACTTAATACACAAAATCGCACCACTTTTACATATAAAAGTCCACTTCAAACCATTATTTAAACAATAAAACAGGAGCAGCAAACCGCGGCCGGTCAAGTTCCAGCCAAAAACCTCCAAAGGAGACGGTCCAAAATTGTATGAAGCGTAGGCCTAGTTTTGTACTAGTATGGAAATAAATTAAAATAAAATAATAAACCACTTTTGATCATTCAATTCCACGAATTTGCCTTAATTTCAGTGGTATTTATTTATTCTCACCAAAAAATGCAACACTAATGGCGAATTGATGTCGTTTTGATTTGCCGTTAACTGTCATCTCTGAAATATACTCATATCACCTATAGCCTATCCAGACAGATTTATTATTTAAAATAGCTAAAATGTCTTGAAACTAGTAGGAAAATAGGGCAAAAAAGTTGTATTTTTTTATCATTGTTACGGCCTACGGCTGCTCCCTTAAAGAGTTAAATCCTCAGGGGCCCATGAGCTGAAGACTTCCCGAGCAGACGTAGGTCGGGCCTCAATGTGGCCACGTGGAATCTCTCGATTTACACTAAAATATATGGGAGAGCGTTCTATACTACGGCCAGTCGACCGGCAGAGGAATTAGGCGGAGTTTACTTACCTATATCCAAGGCGACTGGTCCCTCCGGAGTCGGTCAGGTCACATGTGGTTGTGTAGTGAAAGGGAAATAAGTAATGTGATGTGTATCTGGGTGTGACTGATGGTGATTGAACCTAGACCTTGGCCGTCGGCAGCAGCCCGAGCGTCGATACCGCTCCAACTTGAGGGGGGGCTTCCGAGGTTGTCCACAGTCACTTTCTTCTTTCGTCACGTTGACAGTCAATTAACTCTATCGTACGATTAACTAACTTACAGAAGCCACTAACTATCGCTGGGTATAAGGTTAACGCACAAAACTCACACGGAGTTTACGGATCAAAGGTCACGACCGTTTCGCGTAGCAACAGTTAGTTCTAGAATATCAGAGGCCGCACTAGCTAATATTGTCGAATGCACTTATACAGATTCTGAGTCGGACCCAATAAGTCCCGGGAAAGGCTATCCAAACAGGGAATGCGCGTTATAATTCCTAGACAGGATATTTACTAGACGCCCTAACTATTCCGCGGTTCCCGCACAAAATTAACAGCGTGTAGACATTAGCACAACTGGCAGACGACTGACTTTTCACTCGCGACCCGCGCGCCACTGCCACGCTCGGAAGAACTTTAAACCGGTATCGCCCAGAGCCGCGCGCCCCCTAGACGTCGATTCCGACAACAGCGTTTTGCGCGAACAATCATAACAGGAATAAAGTGTATTATAGATTATTTATGTGCTTTTTTGGTCATAAAATAACTAACGTTCTTGTTGATATTTGCATATCATAAATTCCTAATTCCAGACAATAAGATTGTTGAGATAAATCAACGGTGCCTAAGCACAAAATTATTTCATTGCATTCATTAGTGTGTACTAATGCACACTTCAGTGCCAGGGGCAACCAGGACTTTTTGTTTTACATGGGAAAATGAGGCCTAGGTGTTTTGTTTTTACAAAAATTTTGTGCCAGATAGCTTAAAGCCCAGATTATATGTGAATAGCGGGTAACTCCATTTCTCTACCCTAAAAAATCTACCCTGTGATACTTCTTTATTGCACTAATAATAAAGAATATATTTAACTTATTTTACCTTAGAGTGGCTGTTTTAAGGTGGATAAACAGAATAATCCTGAATACTAATTTCTGTTCAGGTATATGTGTCTATCTGGGCTGCTGAAGTGCTAGGGTACAATCATAGATAATATAATTTATTTGTTATAATATGGTATATTACAGTTGTTACAAAAGAATTCGCATCCTAAATATTTTGTGGTTGTAGCGTTTGAATGTGATTAGCGTTCGAATGTGTGTGTAGACTGGGCCAGAAATGGACCGTCTCCTTATAGATCGAAAATAACAGCGCAGATTATTTAGCCACAGATAACTGTATATTAGTCAGAATTTAGCAAGCTAGCAAGTTAGCGCTATACACAGAACACTAATAACCTGGCGCTATATACCATGCGCAAAGAGTATAGAACTGCATGCGTAAGTGCGTAAGTATCATATTATTAAGCCGCGTCTCCACCAAAGCAAAGTTTTGTTACCAAACAAATTGTTGTGTTGCCAACACGTGTTGGGAACAAATGTTTCTGTAATTACTTAGTGTTAGCCATGGGCAGTTCTCATAGAGAGAATGAGAAAATATTGGACATAGGAAATGTCATAGCAAGATGATTGTTGTTGTTGTTTTTATTATTCGCTCGAAAGTTGTTTATATTATTTACGTGGTAGAGCCACGCTACAGCTATATTAGTAGTATAGTTGTAGCACGAATGGGTCGGCTCGACCGGGGAAGGACCACGCTCTCACAGAATACCAGCGTCAAATAGCAGTTTAACATTGCTGTGTTTCGTATGGTGAGGGTAGAGAACCGGAGACCCTTTTTACTGGAAAAGAGGCATTCCATTTTAGTCCTCACGGGTGACAACGCATATGCGTTTTGATTCGCAAACGAAGATAAATGTAGATGTCTATGGGCCACAGCAACCACTTACCATCAGGTGGACTGTGTGCTCGTTTGTCATTTGTCACTCAAACCTATTAAAAACACGCAGGCAAAGGAACTATGCCATACAGCCTTGTCTTTTTTATTTTGAGTATATAGAATTTCACTGCTTCACAATATGTTGATACGTCACATTGTGCAGCCCTTGAGAGATTTTGACGGCAACTTGAGCCAGGAGACAGCTGACAGTTGGCGATGGTATCTAAAGGCGCCTATGCAAACAAACAGCTTATCTTGAGAATCGAATCCATCACCATCAGAGCACTTGTTTCACCGTTTCCACTAATAGTTCACATGCGTAGACAGGTAATACATAAAATGGCACCAATTTTACATATAAAATTCCACTTCAAACTATTATTTAAACTATAATACAGAAGCAGCAAACCGCTGCCGGTCAAGTTCCCGCCAAAACTCCTTGCCATCAAAGAGTCATAGCAAGATGATATACGAGAGCTAACACCCTCCTCGCCTCTCGACACCCCTTCTAAACATGGAGTGTAGAGTAGTCTACTCTAAACTCCATGCTTCTAAGCTCAAATGCAAGCTGTCGCCAGGCTGGTGCAACTTCCACAGTAAAAATTATATGTACTACAGGGATAAAATTTTAATGACGGTTATCTCTTCTTTCTGCTTTTCGTAATTTTTTTTTTAAAAATTTCTCGTAATTCATACTAATGGCAATATACCCCCCATGAGCAATGACAATAATAAACGGCCCCCAGTCCCCGGCGGCCCCGCTATTCCTGGCTACGGTGGCGACCATGGTAACGGCGGGGCAGGAGGTGCTAAGAATCTCCGGTGGAGGTTCGGTTGCCACCTACGACGACTCGACCTGGCAACATACAACGCACGCACCCTGAGGACTGACGAGAAGATTGTGGAGCTGGAAGAAGAGATAGACAAGTTACGCTGGCATATTATAGGATTATCCGAAGTCCGAAGAGAGGGGGAGGACACGGTAATCCCCGAATCCGGCAACTTGCTCTATTACCGGGAGGGCGATCATCTGTCCAAGGAGGTGTCGGATTTATCGTGCACAAGTCTCTCGTTAACAATTTTGTAAAGATTGAGAGTTTGTCGACGAGGGTTGCGTACCTTATACTCAGAATCACCAAACGGTATTCGCTGAAGGTCATACAGGTTTACGCACCAACCTCGGCACACCCCGATCAGGAGGTGGAGGAAATGTATGAGGATATCTCTAGAGCCATGCATTCCTCCAAAACCCAATATATGGTGTTAATGGGAGACTTCAATGCAAAACTAGGCACAAGAGAGAACGGTGAGCTGAAAGTAGGGAAATTTGGAATAGGGCAACGGAACTCAAGGGGCCAGCAGTTGGCTGACTTCATGGAGAAAGAGGGACTCTTTATGATGTACTCTTTCTTCCAGAAGCGGCCACACAGGAAGTGGACCTGGTCGAGCCCCAACGGTTCGACAAAAAATGAGATTGACTTCATTATGACGACCAGACGACAACTGTTCAGAAATGTCTCAGTGATCGCGAGGGTGAAAACCGGCAGCGATCACCGAATGGTTAGAGGCACACTGAACCTAAACGTTACGTTGGAGAGGTCTCGTCTAATGAAGTCAACGCTCCGTCCCCCTCGTGCTCTAATCCAAAGTCCCGAAACCTTTCAGCTCGAGTTATAAAACCGTTTTCAGTGCCTAGAAGACTGCAATGAAGTGGACGATTTGAATGACAAGCTCGTGGAAACTGTCCATGCGGTCGGAGCTAAGTTCTGCAAGACCCGCCGCAGAAGAACACAAAAACTCTCCGATCACACTCTTAATCTCATGGCTATTAGAGGGGAGATGAAGCTACATTCTTCAACAGATTTAACAGCATACAGGCAACTGAACAGACAGATCTCCAAATGCATGCGGCGGGACTTACACAACTTCAGTAGAGCTCGTATTGAAGAAGCCATCGAGCGGAACCAAGGC